AAAAGTTCGTTGAAGAACAAGTACTAGATAGAATCTAGAGAACGTCGGACCAATTGCCGATCGATAAAACAGTGAATCTTATTGCTATTTTCCTTCTAATCCCGTCATATACCGTACTAAAACAAACCGTTATAAATAAAAGCTACATTAGGAACAAAATTCAAAATATTTTCATTATAATAATTATTTTGCAATTTTCTTGTTTATAGGGAGCAAATATTTGATACTTGTAGAATACTGAATAACAGTACCAATATTTGCCTTTCAAGGCACATTCGATGATATTTTTAATGTAACATTCTTGAGAATGTAAGTGAACTGCAAATATTTGAGGAAGTTGAAATTATAAGCCCTACAATGCATATATCGATGAAAAGAGAATTTTTTATATATGTTGCAGAAAAATACGGGTTGTTCCGATTGAATTTAAAAAAAAGTTTTGTCGGTTTTAAATTTCCAAAATCTGTCGTGAAAAACGGGACACCTAGTATAATTTTCTTCAGGTAATGTTGATAGCGGAAGGTGGTGCACCTTATGTTGTTTGTGTATTCAGAAAAGCAAGTGGAAGCAAGAACGAAGAAAAGATATAAGGCATTTTCGAAACGCTTGCATCTTTCAAAAGTTTTATAAACTGGATTATTTCGAAAACGGTTAGATTTAGGTACAGGAAAGCTTTAACATTTTTGACTTAGTTTTAATTTATCTTGTCGATAATGCAGTAATATATAGGGTGTTCCATTTAAAATAACGAAGTTGACAGCTATCTCGGTATAACCAAAACGTTGATGGCATTATTTTCATTGAAGAGAACATATCTGATAACCTTCGCAAACAAAATCTCAGAGTCATTATTGTCTTTGGTTCCTCTGAAACGTTTAATAGGCCACATACCGTGAAGAATCCTGTGTAGGGTATCCACGTACAGATGTCCACAGTTAGAGTGGAAAAAAGAAAAATATTTTTATTTTTCAACAAGGCATTCTCGATTAAAATTTTTGCTTGTCTTTAAAATGCGGTTGGCATGGAGTACTTTCATCTTGCATCTTATATTACAATTTCAAATTGTGTATGAATCGGCCTACTTTGATAGAAACGAACAGTAAAACATTTTTATTGTTCATTTTACGAGAAAAAGGCGTTCTTGATTAAAATGTTTGCTTGTCTTTAAAATGCGGTTGGCACGGAGAACTTGAAAATTGATAAATATAAAAGTCGTGCCTTTTGCTCACCATTCAAATAGATATAATTGGCATGAACTTTATTTAATAATTTTTATTTAATGTCATTGTTTTAATGTGTATGAGCAACGGAAATATTTCCAAACTTCTTAATAAATTATATTTGTTTCTTAGTTTGTACTTAGCAATTCACACACTTAAGGGAATTAGCACACAATATCTTAATATACTATAAACTAACACTATTAATTAACAGCATACTTTAAATTGAGAAACTTATTATTAGGTAACAGTTTAGAATTATTTCAATTTTATAAATAAGTTCTTGGGAACTTCTCCAAATCTCCTGTAAAATTATTGAGTGAACAGCTTCCCTAGTGCGCTCTTTTAACATATCAATGTTATTGTCTAAAGGCTTGCTGTATACAATTTGTTTTAATCGAAGACCCCAGAAATAAAAATCTAAAATTGTTAAATCTGGGCTGCACGGTGGCTACTGAATCGAACCATGTCGTCCGATCCACTTGTTGGGAAACATGTCATTTAACCACTGTACAACGTTAGTCGAAGAATGCGCTGGACAGCCATCATGTTGAATATAAAATGAATTAAAATAATTCAAAGGTAGTTATTCCAATTTATAACTAAAATAAGTTCAAGCATTGCTAAGTTACTGTACCTATTGCAAGTGCTTTCAAAAAATATGGTCCTATTATATCATGATAAGAAATAACGCACCAAACATTTACTTTTTGAAAGTATTGACGCCCGGACGATATTTTAAAATGAGGATTGGCATCACTCCAGTATCAAGCATGTTGCGACGCAATTATTCAATTAGTTAAAATATGGGTTCGTCGGAAAACATTTTCTTGTGAAAATTTCTGTCCATGCTTCCAATCCATAAACAAAAGTCAAGACGTTTTGCTTCATCGCCCGCTTCTACTCGTATAGTGTTATTGCTAATTGGTTTATAGGGAAATATTTTATTTACTTTCAAATTTTTTTGGATATGCGATTTCTTAAGTTGCAAATATTCTGCGATTTTTCTTAATGATAACTTAGGATGGTCTTCTACAGATTGTAACACTATCAGGGTGGTGACATAATATTCATCATAATTTTTCTTCGATCGTGGTATGTTCAACACTGAACCGGTTAATAAAAACCTCTGAATTAATCTCCTACAAGCCGATATTGAAATATGAACATTTGGAAATTTTTGAAGGAACTCTAATAATTTGACGGTAACAAGTTTCTCCTTTGCCAAAGCATTGTATTAAATACATATTTGCTGCAACGTAAGCATATGTATTAAGAATAACTCACTATTACTCAAAAGCCCTATAATTTGACGGTAACAAGTTTCTCCTTTGCCAAAACATTGTATTAAATACATTTTGCTGCAACGTAAGCATATGTATAAAGAATAACATTATTACTCAAAAGCCCTATCACTCTTCATTATAACGGTCGTTGCCAAACTTTTTTATTATCCATGCCAACCGCATTTTAAAGATATGCAAAAATTTTAATCAAGAATGCCTTTTTCTCGTAAAATGAACAATAAAAATATTTTACTGTCCATTTCTATCAAAGTAGGCCGATTCATACACACATTGAAATTATAATATAAATTTCAAATCTAAGAAATTTTCCTTAATAACATATTTCTGTATTGTTAAAAACAAAGGCCGTTTATTCTTGAACGATTTTTATATTTACCGATTTTCTGATCACCCTGTACATACAAAATGACAGTTCTCCATGCCAACCGCATTTTAAAGACAAGCAAATAGTTTAATCGAGAATACCTTTTTCTCGTAAAATGAAAAATAAAATAATATATTTTTCCTCTTTCCACTCTAACCGTTCACATACTGTATACAGGTATGACATTAAACTTGTTAATAAATGATTGTTCTAAACGTAGTGTAATTTTCTAGAGTACATTTTATAACAGTTTCATGTTTGATGTAGTGTAGAGGCGACAGAAACAGAGTTAAAGTTGAGCAACGCGCGACTCAGAAAAAAGCCCGCTTAGTCCCTCAACTTTTTCCCATAACACTCGATCATCCCTTACACTGACCACACGGCGGTATATTTATTTTCTCCACTGCATTACGTTTTCTTTTGTCTTATCGATTCAAGAGCGCTTATTCTTTCCGACTCTCCATGGGGGACTCATATATTTTATTTGTAATACCATTTTCATTTCTTTTGCTGTCCCAATTTTTCCGCTAGCCGGAATTGTGAGGTGTGCGAAAGCAAGAAAGAAACGCTGATAAAAAATTCTATAAACTGGTTTAAATTCCCACCTCTCCTGTATTTCTTTTGCGGAATAGTGTTGAGATGTCTTAGTTTTAAGCAGAGATGACGTCAATTATACATTATGTTCCTTTTATGTCCAGGTTAGTGCTTAGAAAATGCAGAGTCCAGGCAAATACTAATAAACGTCTGTCTAGGTGTCAATAAACTTGATAAATGTGTATATTAAGGGAAGTGGCGGTATGTTTTAATTTCTTGAGTAATTGAATTAAATTTTGGCGCGAAATGAGGGTCCCATATAATGGTTTGTAAGAAACCTTCCTGTACAAATTCAATTAAAAGTTGGTATCAGCAATTTTAAAATACGGAAAACTTTGAAAGGAAAGATCAAATATACCGAGAATTTTTTTAAAGTTTATTTGAAAGTGTAGGTGTACTACAGAAATTTACGTTTTTGTTATAGAATTACTATACATATAAATAATTTACACATAAAAGGTATAGATCCAAGAAGTGAAGAAAGTATTCATTATTATAAAAAAATATAGGTAATATGTTTGTCACAACTTCTTCTTAAGTCGATTAAGTAAAACTGTTTTCATTATGGCTTTTATAATAGGTATATGTGTCCTTTTCTATTTGCAATTGTTTTTTCTGATATTACATTTCTTAGATACCATAAATTCAACTCAACGTAATCTATGCAAATGATCTTCGAAGATTTTTTCTTAAGTGTCGATGACTGTGTTCATCTTCAGAAATATATAAGGTAGTAGAATGACTCTCTTTCAATTCAACCAAGAGATTGTTTCTAATATTTTGAGATAATTTGAAAGATTTTGGAACTTACAACTGCAAAATTGACTTTTTCTGACATAAATTCAGGGCCCGATAGAATTTCAAAGAATATTACAGTTTGTTCCTATGAACCATGGGCCATCTTTTTCCGTTTTCACGATAGGGCGTTTCCACGAAATTCGACTGAATGAACTGAAATTTTGTTAAGTGGAGTTTCTGGAGATGCTAAATACTTTGAGGTTATTAATTTTTGGCTATATCAGTCCAATCCTGCAAATTTTCCTGGCTTTCGGTGTTGCTATTTTTGTATGGCATTAGTTCGAGGTTCATTTTTTTGTATAACCTATATACTTTAGAAATGCCGTACAAAAATGTTTTGCAGAAAACCACCCCCCTTGGTGGACAGGTTTAACTACCTGTACCAACAAGAATTGACGGCATAGTTTCTAAAGTTATTGTTACATATATGGTAGTATTGATTTATAATTTATAAGTAATTCATGCTTGAAAATTTCCGATGGGCTTTGAAGTCTATTGGCTTTGCGTTTGCTTCATGTATAGGTGTTATTATTATTATTCTAATAATGCCGAACGCTCCTTTCGCTGATAAAGTACACAAATTTATTTATTTTTATTTATACCTACTGTTATCGACGAACACGCCTATGATTAGCCGATGAAAACCCCGAGCTTTAGTTATTACTTAACACACTGTATACGCCTTATAAATATATTAATAAAAATTCCTGTGCTGACCTTTCTCGCAGTACTCGCCCTCGTAGTCGGGGTTCCGGCATTCACAGATGGGCCCGCTGTCCGTAGAGATGCAGATGCCGCCGTGTTGGCAGGGGTCCCGGACCTCGCAAGCGTCGCTGCTGTTGCCCCTCAGGATCTGCAACGCAATTAATGGGTTTTAGAAAAACGTCGATTCGGGACAGGTACAGATGCAGCACGGAGAGTGCTGTCGTAAAATGCTAAATGCAGTACGTAACTATATGATTTTTATGGTTACAGGTGTATTGCGGAAATAAATTGGATTTAATAAAAGGGGATATGCCCATTGCTCAGGGTTCAGTTCCTTTCTGCTTGTAAAATACAGGGTGTCTGGAAAAGAGGTCTAAAATTTCCTAGAAAATTGAACGTAAGGAAAAATTGAACTTTTGTTAAATTCAGGATATAGTGTTCTAGTCTCTATATGTTTGCCATTATAAATAATAATAATAATATGTACACTATATTTCGCTATTCACCATTATATCACGGTTAGGTATTTAGTAGGTGTTTTAGTACGAAATAATTTTGAAATAAATTTGAATGTAATGGCTTCTAAAATTAAAAAAGGGGTGGACCTTTTAGAAAAATTATTTTAGGGAACTTTTTATCTAAAGTCAGTAATATATTCTAATTTAGTGTCCTTATAAACCCCTCTGTATCAAATATTAATAAAATATCTCTCAAAATATGTGTGTATCGAAACATTTAGTTTTTCTTTACTTTAGCATAATCATTAATTTAAATCAAAGTTAAATAAGTTTTTCGTTTTACTTTCTATTTTATGTTGAGCTACTGAATTCTCGAGAAAACTTTTTATTTAGTCGTTAAAAAAGGACTAGTGTAGGAACATATTTGCTCAAAACATTTTGACATTCATTGAAAATATTCAGAAGAATAGTATGACAAAGAGGAAACAAAGTTACAACATTAACAATTAAATAATCTGAATTTCTGAAGAAAAAAGTTAATAGAGATAGGTTTTATATTAGAAACTTAGAAAATCAAATTAGGTTTATTTACGAAATTACCAGACAAGAAATAAAAGAGAAGAGTATATAAAAGGAAGTTATTTGCAACGAGATTATTTAGTTATTTAATGTTGTAATGTTATCAATAATTTGATAGTATTTTCAATAAATGTGAAAGTCTCAGCGGCAGATTTTTAAGCAACATTTTTATTAGCAACTAAAAAAAATGCTCGATAAATTAAACAGCTTTATAAACAACAAAAAGTAAAAAGAAACATTTATTTAACTTTGTCAGTTTTTGAATTAACGGTGTTGTAAAAGTAAATATTTGGGTATTCATCCCTCAAGTACCCACTTTTAAAAACATTTCAAAAAAATGTTTTAGAGAGTCTCTGGTGATGCTAAATTAGTATGTACATTAGCATTAATATTTAGATAAAGGAATCGTTAATATAATACTTCAAATATCCTCCCATTTTAAATTTTAAAACTGAACACCTATAATTAAAATCAAATTTAGTTTAGTGTTTTTATATCGAGTGTCTTTTTACTGAAATCTTATATTTTGTCACTGTACAACTAAAAATAGTAAAAAAGTATATGTATAAGCTATTTCTAAAACACAGTGTCAAATTGAAATAGGAGACATGAAATGTCACAAAAATGATTCAGGGTGATAAAGATACAATGCCAAAAACAAATGTTTTTAAAATAATGCCAAAATAACTGGTTGAATCCAAATAGTTTTTTTGTTTTACATTAGCGGAGATACAATATGTAATCAAGGATATTATTTTATCTTTAAAACTATAGTAAAATAGTAAATTTTTCTAAAAGGGAATTTTATACTGTACAAAAAAGGTATATCAACTGCACCGTTCGTTAGAAAATCAGCTATAAGCATTTTGTGCTGTACCTAGATGATAATTTTTGAAACTTTGCTGATACGTTATACTAATGAAAATATGTAGCTTTTTATATTGATTTAGAGATTTTTTTGCTAACATTTCTTATTCATCTTCATATATCATTTTAATTCGTATAATGTATCAGTAAAAGTTTAAATCTATTTGATTTGATTTTCAAGATCTGTTTTGTCAGCGGATAAAATTGTTTATTGCTAATTTTCTCGAACCATGAAAATTATAGACATCGAACAAAAGTATCTTTTATGGTATTCTCATTTTATTACATTACTTAAGAAGATACAAATCTTTTTTGTTTCAATTTTTGAAATTTCAAAAAGAATTGATTTCACTTAAATCAAATAGTTTCTAAAATCGTCTGACTCAAGTGGCCAGACTTGAAAGGTGCTTATTGTTAGTACCTGCAGGAAAGTCGAAATTGTCATATATGAGGTGCGATAATTTCCTCATTTTTAACATAGTAACGCATTTTTTTGAGAATTAGAAACAGTGCATCCATCATGAAAAATTTCATCATACGGAATGTAGCAGCATTATCAGAATAAAGTGAAATTTAAAAACACTAAATGCGTTTGAAGGCGCTCAGGCACGTTGAAATTGCTTACTAAATCATGTTACCTACTATAGCTAAAAATTAGATGAATCATATAAACATGACAATGAATTTAATCTGATTCGTTATTTATAGTAAAGTTATTTATTTCCAATTAAAATATTGTTAATAATTATAAATTCTCACAATTTTGTGATACTTCCGAGTATCGAAGTATAATTAAAGTCTTTTCCAATCTATACGTAGGTATATTCTAATTAGACCATTAAGTCAAGTAGAAAATAAAAGTGTCAGTTTGTAGTATGTATATATCATTTCGCAAATACTTTATTTATAAAGACGGCGGGAGCTTTTGGAGTGCTTACGAGACACGTGGTATATAAAATATTCAACAACAAAGTACCTATGTAATCACTAACATACGACACTGAAAACGCCTCTATTACTTACACCATGATTTAACGAATTCACAGCTGTCAATATGTTGTTAATGTTATTTGTCTAAAAATTTTGCTTTTTAGTATTATTTTAAGTAAGTACTTTAAGAAATCCCATAACCGTTTTTTTCTCTTTCTTCTCATCCGTCTGATTCCTTTTTCGCCAAATTACCCTTCGCTATTTCGTTGCATTTAATAACAGAGTAATTTTAACGCTACAGTTAACGAAACATACAAGTGCTCTCGCATCCAGTTAAGTTCTCGCCAGCCTCTAATCAGCCTTTGAGTATAATTAGCCAGAAACATCGCAGCGCCTCCAACTTTACATACGCCCGATTCGAAAGACAATTCTATTAGGGATTTGGAACGCTCTCTAATCCAATTAGCAACTGTGACAGCAACTGAAAAGTTGGGGATCTCTTCGGAAATATCTCTTCGAGTTGCTTAGTCGGATCATCGGCTGGAGAAACCAGTGGTGTTCTGGATTGACGCTAGAACGGAAAAGCCTCCCTGCACGAGATAAAAATAACAGGGAAACCAACGCGGTGAAATAAAGGGAATGCCGATATTCTGTGGACCTACGACCTGCTTACATTATTGCAGAATGGAGATATGAGACAGAATAATTTAATTTTTTGATAAAACTGAGTTATGTATTACTAAAAATGCTGACTTTTTCCAAATATGTATATAAAAGTAATCAATTACAAGTTTCTTAAATTCTGGAATTAAAAATATAATATTTCAGTAACCACTGGATGAACAACAGTGTTGCAAGAAAACTTTCATGAATGTTATCTCCCGTCAATAACATTTTTTCTAAAATGATTCTTAAGGACCCCATGGTACTTCAAATATTGGATGTAAAACACAGTTTTTGATCAATTACAGAAGAACCTTTGATGACATAGATATCAAATTTACTATTATGAATTTTTCTGACCGTACGTATTTGGTTTTGAACTAAAATCATCCAGTTGCATCGAAATTAGGAGGAAACTGAAGGGTTTCAACTAACAGTGAATATTTACTATAAAAGTAGTAGTTTTCTTACAACAGAATCATTCATAATCATAATCTTACGAGTTAGTCACCAGTGGATCATAGACAATAATAGATTTATTAATAATTTATTTTCCTTTAATTCCTTAGTAGTTAAGTACATATGTAATTATATAAAAATTAAAGCCATCTATCTCGCATTCAAATAAGCAAAAATTTATGCAAAATTTATTATTTTTTTATTTATATTTACCTGTCTTCTGCTGATCACAAGGCTTTTAACATTATTACGATTCTTTGGCTTTTACTCGTGAACGGTTTTTTTATGAAAAAAGAAGAGTACAAATTTTAATTTTAATTTTAATTACTCTATCTGAATTTATAAAGGAAGATTCCCTTCTTACATTTTTTATCAGGTTTTTTTCAAATTTTACATTATAGATAAAAACTACAGGGAAGCTCTGCTATACGAAGTTTTAGGACTACATATTCTATTCTATTGATAGAAAACTTTGTTTCGTGTTCAATTTTTACAGGATCATAGAAACTTTAAGAATCATTTTATATTTTTTTCTCTGTTTATTTGGTTCCTTTGGTGGTCACTAAAGCTACGCCACAAATAAACAACAATTTTAAACAACATTTTTACCTAAATGATAAAAAAAGAATGAATGTGAGGCCGAACAAAATATGATTGTTTGCCTAGAGATGAGGATATTTTTTAACTTTAATAAATACATTAATTACATCGAATCCAAAATTAAATAGTGGCAAGCATTTTTATTCATCAGAAATCAGAAGAAACGCCATTTTAAGTTATTCAAAATGTGATGTTTTATTATCTTAACCAAGTTAGTTTATTAATGATTTTTTCCACGTCAGAATTAACTGAGACGTAAAATTAAAGGAAAGAAAAATATTATTTACATGCAGTACGAGACAAGTGAAGAACATAACACAGAATAATTATTTTAATAACTATTAACTTACCATATTGATAAGATTAAAACTTTTTTGGAACTGCTGATTCCACCGATAACTTTATTGACTATTGAGTAACTCTTGTTAGACTATTGATTTTAATAAACACGCCACGGGCACACTATCTTTTCACAAAAACAAAAGAGCGTTGAAAAATAAAAATTACTTCATTTAAACATTTATTAATAATAATTTTCGCCGTAAAAGACAGATGTCTTCGTAAAAAAACTAAAGTAAAAGTAGCAATTTTC